GGCCTGAAAAATATAATGACGAGAAAAGAACTTCATTTGAGGAAGAGCCAATTATGAAAGCGAAGAAGACTTGTGTTCCCAGAATTAATAGAAGAAATTTGGGAAAAAAAAATTTTTGTCAACTAGGAAAAAAAAAAAAAAAACTGAAAATCCGTTTTTGTTCTATTTTATGTTTATATTACAGAATCCCTTAGGAGGAAGGGGTTTGTTTATATTAAAGATTTCATTAAATAAAGGTTGAAAGTTTATTACGAAATTTTTGCATGATTTTGTAACAATATTATCTCTATCATTGAAGTTACAAAAACTAAAAGCTCATCTTTCTCAAAATTTCTGTCAATGGACATAACTGTTTTTCTACTCCGTGTCTTCTATTCTCTTTATGTGATATAATTTAAACTTGCATCTTAAGAGAATAAAAAAAATATAAAAAATTCAAGTGGTTGTTTTCCTTTGTAAATATTATTTATTTAAACCTTATTATTTATTTTTCTTCTGTAAACATTTATTCATTTATTATTTATACTACAAAATGTACGTATTTTTTCTATTCCGTAAAAGGTGAACAAGGTCTCATCTTGTCTTTTTACTAAACAATCAATTAAAAGTTAAAATCTTAAATAATTGAGGTCTTTTTTACACAACTATATTATATGACAATCAATAATTAACCTTTGGTCGTGATCATTATACACTCATTTAAGTCAAATTCTGTCTCCATTATGTTGCCTTGACAGACATTTAATTCTGTCTAGTATACTGTCCTAGATTCAGCTCACGTCAGCTCAGAGCAACGATGTCAAGCAGAACGATTGCAACGCAATCATTTACCAAAGCATGTGAATTCTAACAGCAGGATGCATTCTTTAAGTTACCAAAGGTCGCTGCAGAAAATAAGCCGAAAATTTCAGGGTAAATATAAATATGCAGCTTGTCGTTGTAGCATCTTCAATATTGATCATTCATCTAGTTGGATGATGAATTAGGACTGGACACGCAAACCTTGCTTAAAATACCATTGTTGGAAAAACAAAGCGATAGGAAGCTAGATGTTTTATTCACATTATATGGATAGTAAACCAGTTTTAAAATAAGAAAGAGACAATATTTTTTGCAGTTACGTTCAAAGTTTCGAAAATGGAAAATTGTATAGCATGTATGTAAGGGCAAAGCTGAATTTATCTGATTCTCGATGTTTAAAATGCAGTAAAAGGTCCTCAAGGAAAATTCAAAAATACTTTTTCCATCTTAATTTTCCGTTCACAGTACTGAGGTTATGCGAGCCCAAATTAGTTTAAACTCCTAAATACACTATCTACGAATAAGTATTTGGACACCTACTATGATACAAAAGAAAAACAAAATTTATTCATATTCCATTTAGTTGATAGAGTCTCTATGAGTAGCAATTACGCCCTCAATCCTTCGGGGCATGCTTTCCACAAGTCCTTGCATGACGGTATTTTCTTCCGCTTTGCTTGGAGAAGACATGTAAGTTTCTTTATTGGTACTGGACAGTTGTTACACCCCTTAATACGGCAATCCAGTTGGTCCCAAAGGTTCTCGATTTAGGATTTAGGTCTGGGCTCTGGGCAGGTCAGTACATTCGGTTAACCTCATTGTCGTCATACTAATCTGTGATGGACCTCGCACTGAGTTCGGCTTCGACAGTGAGTTTACTATTATTTTGGACCAAGGTTTCAGTCCATAACAGAAAAAATACCTGCAGATCATAATTCCATTTCCGCCGAACTTTACTGTGGGCACAATGCATTTTGGCAGGAGGCGTTTTCTAAGCAGACGCTAGACCCAGACCCTGTCATCCGAGCGGTAGAGAGCGAATCTTGATTCCTTGCTCCAGAAAACTCATTTCCACTGAAATTACGGTTCACTGTAGACGTGCTTTGCACTACATTAGCCGAGCAGCGCTATTGGACTTCGTGATCAAAGGCTTATACGCGGCAGCAAGTGCTTTCATACGGATGTCATTCATCGAAACAACACTCCCAATCGCCTGTTAAAACTTCTGGGGTATGTAGGCCATCGGCAGGGTGCGATTCTTACGAATTTCTCTGGAAAGCATTCGTCGGTCCCTATGTCCCAGTTTCGTGGGTCTGCCGACTCAAAGAATAGTCTGACAATCACCATTTACTTCCCACTTCTGAATCATATAAGCTACTGTCCAATTTGTATAATTCAGCTATCAGGATCGGCCATTTTTGTGACACCCGACGACTACACCTTTCTCGAAACCAGACAACTCTGCACTTCGTGGCATCTTGCACGTGACTAATGCCAATGTTGTTTCCTACGCGACATTTTAACGGTGGCAAGGTATATCAGGTCAGCAGATATGGGCATTTGCATGGGTGCCCAAATACTTATTGGTAGATAGCGTGTTACGATAATTTACAGCTTCAGCTACCGATTGAACTGCTTCAGAAAACGTCTACTCTTTAAGAAGTAATCCGAGAAATGCTCCTAATTTTTCTCTAAATTTTTAGCAAATGTAAAACTGATTGTAATATCAATGGCATTTTGAGGCGTTAATCGGTTAATTCATTATCAATAATACAGCTAGAAGACGATATAATTCCAAAATTTGCTTTAACTTGCCTGTATATCAACGGGTTACAAAAAGTTTTCATAATAGCATTTGTTTCTTCTTTTATTTACGGTGACATTTTATAGCTGTGGAAGATCAGATAACTTAATAAGTGAAACATTCGATGGCGCTTATAAATCTGTAAGACCCAAATCTGAAACCTGTCGAAATAAAATTATTATATGGATATGGTAAATTGTAGTAGACACTCATTGTTTAACCATAGGCAATGTGAGTATTGTCTAGCCTCACTAATTATCCAGATAACCACTTTTCAGAGGCCCACAAGTGACTCCGCCAGGCGTTGCTGTGTTGCATAGCTTACTGCTTCTTTCGGACATAAAGATTATATGTTTATTATTTCCTATCTGAGATGTTTGTTCTTGAAAGCATAACTTATACAAGGACTTATTTCTCTTTGAGTTCGGAAGTTTTAGATGATATTCAGCTGTGAGAAAGCATTTAAATAATAGTGTTCGGGACTGCCTCTTTCTCCATATACGTACAGATTGTAACTAAGTTCCTTGCATAAGCGTACGTGGGAAAGCCCCCCCCCCCGATATGAACCACGTTATTTTTCTTATTACTGAACTGGGTGCAGTGCCTGCGTTTGGAAACGGTTGATAGGTCCTTCTCCCTTGTTCGACATTGTCCCACCAGTTCTGCCATTCATTTTTAGATTCGTTGGTTATGAGTTTTTTTTTTGGGGGGGGGAAGGTTCGAGCCAGGCCACTGATAAATTTTGTGCATTTCGATCCCTATTCTTCATATTCTGTTTGTTTTCCTCGCTCATTAACAGTCGTTGCCAAAAAATCTGTAACGAACTGTAGATCTTCCAAACACTTTACTCTGCAAAATAATTTCTTTCAGTCCCGTTGTTGTGATATTTTGATGTCAGACCAATTTCTTCACCGGCATACGACAAGCCCTTTTTCTTAAATGCTTTTGCTATTTGAAACATTATTTCGAATCAGAAGTAAACGCCAGTAAAATGTAAATAATAACAGCAAAACAAAAAGTTACGGACGCATTTTAAATCACTCAAATGAACTACAATTTCTTCAGATGAATGATTAAGATAAAATTAAAAATTAACAACTATTTATTCAGCTAATTGTAGCTTAAAATCAGCCCTGCTAACAATAAACACCAAGAAAGTATAGCCATGTTATAGCACTACATTCTATCAGCATATGAATTCAAGAACCTCCTTTGCCATTGCACAACTTAATAGCTAAGTTTAAATAATGATATTAATTATTTTACATTCTGTAACATCAACTCAGCTGAATCGAGAAAAGCACTGCAAACTCTAAGAACTCTCGAATTGAAAGGTGGAGATCAGAAAAACTACCAACTTGAAAATACAATTGAAAGATTGTTTACGAACAATACTAAAATAAATACAGATAAAGCAGTTTTTGCAAAAGTTTGAAACTTCATCAGCTATGTAATTTATAAAAAAATTAAGTTCGAAATTTTGCAAATAGCTTAATTTTAGCTTTAATTTCTAATTAATAATTTAGGCATTAATTATTACATTAAGTGTTAGTTACTATCTTACTAAATAAGTTCAAAGTTGATACCGTAATTTGTAATATTGAAATCGCCGTTTAATAAACTCAGATACGTTTGGAACGGGAGTAACTTCCCTATTTGAGGGTGGCTGCTTTTAGATTTGAAATACAATTTTTCATGATTTTATATATTTTCATGTTTTTATACAAGGAAAAAAATTCCTTTTTTCTTTAACATCGTACCTGAAGGAGACGGGAGATCTAAAGGATTCTTCATTTTCCATGAATTTTCAATCGAAATGTTGAAACATGATGATACTTTCTAATGCTGGTCCTAGTAGTGTAAACTGTTTGATATTTAAGAACATGAAGACACCAAGCATTTTTTCAGGCTGAAAATAAATACTTTGAGTATTATCATGTTCATAAGCAGAAAGCCAATTACAGCAATATTTAAACACTTGGATCATCATTTCTGTCATTGAAAGGATACAATTAAACACATTCTTCAGTATAAATTTAACAGTAAACAAAATAAGAACTGTACGTTTAAATAGTACTACGCTACAATGAATTTCAAAAGCACCAAAATTAAGTAAAACAACATTGATACATTAAACAGATCCCAAAACTAAGTATGATTTTCAGAGTTGTAAATCTGAATTAATGAAGCTTTCCACTTCTGGACATTTAAAGTTCTCGTCTACACAGTTATAAAAATTTTAATATTCCTCATTTTGTATCATGCATGTCCCATAAATGTGTAAAAGATTCTTTTGTATTAGGGATGCAAAACACAAATTCATGAAATTTGTTATAACAAAGATAAAATCAGTAATATTTGGAGCAAGAGTTAAACTTCGTTTTTGTTCTTGCAGATGATGATGTAGCTAGTTTAATTGAACTTGGAGACACCGCATGGGAAAGTCATTTACAGCAGCTTGTACCTTGCCCTCGTTGTTCTCGTACCTTCTTCCCAGACAGGTTGGAAGTACACGAACGGAGCTGCAAAGGACCATCTTGCAGCAGACGCCCACGCAGCAACAAAGGAGCGTAACAAAACACAGTTGGACTCTAAAGAACTTTTCATATCCAGCTGATATTCAGCAGCTAATCATTGCACGACATACTTACAAGATGCAGTTGTTGTAATAATACCAAACATCATCCTTTGAAGATATAAAGTAGATGTAGAATATAAAATTATGGAAACATTATTAAGTTTCTAATTATTTACATGTGTGTATGTTATTTTTTACATGTGTTATTATTTAAATGTGTTTATGTGTGTATATGTTTACAACTATTAACATTATTATGCAGTTACGTAATATTAATGTTACTTTGAAAATTGATAAAGGCACCTAAATAATAATATACCAATACTTCAAGCAAAGAATTAAAAAAATACCGCTTTATTATAAAATCAATGTATCAAAATTTTCAGCGCTATCTGTTGAATACGCCATTATCTGATAAGATATCATCTTCAGTATTTTAGGTAGTACCAAATACAATTATTGAATGTTTTAAAGGTAATTGAAAATGATAACTACAAATACTTTCTACAAATATTTTTAATACATTTTTAATAACATAAAATGTTTATATTATTTTTTAAATAGCACTAATAAATAACATAATAAATTGGATTCAATACTACATATTGTTCCAGAGTATAGCACGTAAGCTATGTATACGTTACAATGCCAAACATGCATGTTCATTGATCTTCCGGTTTTAAAAATAAAGACCAATAACAAAATGAAAGATTAGAAGTTAGAGGATCTGGTGCCTGAAACAGCAAGAAATCAACATACATCAGTGAAGGAGAAGAATATGAAGAAAATCTAGGTAAGCGTATATAAAAATCTCCAAAATTGTGATACACCTATGTGATAAATACATTTTACTTACACTGTGAAAATTTTATTATTAAAAACAATCTGCTTTCGAACATAATTTTAGCAAATACATCGAATGTAACTGTTACAAAAGTTTGGAAAATTAAAAGGTAGTTTCAAAAAATACATTTTATCGTACAAAAGTAAAGGTTAAAAATATTGAAAAGAAAGTGTTTGTTATTATTATTATATATGGTATGCAATAACCATTTTAGGCTTTGGCCTCTACTAAGGCCCAAAGCGGTGATCATTTTATTATGGACGCATCTTATAGGCAGCCACTATTACGTCCCATGAAGGTAAGGACAATTTACATCCATGCCTACTCCGGCATTCAAATCCGGACCCTTCGGTACGGCAATCGGAATTAGTAACCACTTTCCAATCTGGGCGGCTGAAAAGAAATACATTCATTGTTATGCAGGTAAAACAGTTTTTTTTTTTTTTTTTTTTTTTTTTTTTTTTTTTTTAAGGCTATGGAGATCGGAAAAATTTTAAAATAAGAAGAGTCCAATTAGGTAAACATCCTATGGAATACAAGAATTCCATAACATTCGCAACAAGAAATTCTGCAAGCAGTTAATTGATGCAAACACTGAAATTCCTTATTTGGAGGGAGAAATTATTCGAGAAAGGTGTTTATAAACTGATTATTAGTAAACTATTTCCAGAGTAACATTTACTTGCATTTCGTGACCATAATGAATATTCCGAATCAGATACTGATAGGACTGGTCTAACCGGCGTCGCCAACCGAGATAGAAGAATGCTTTCGCATAAAGGCTCTAAATGTGCCCAGTAATTTTATGAAGTTCAGCATCATGAAGAAAGCAACCTCGTTAAGGCTACTAAGACGCCCATGTGACTTAATCTCGGCGAACATTCGGCGACTTGCACAAAGGCGCTGCTTTTTAACATTTTTACGAAATCATCCATCTGGTAGGACATGAAAATTCCCTATACTTTTATGCAATGGAGTAAATTAAATCCAACAGTTATGAATTAGTGACGATGGAGTAAAGATGTCAAGTTTAATTATGGTTACCATCAGTTTATCTTTCGGTTTTTTTATCAGTGTCATTAAATCTTTTCCTTCTTATGAGTTTATCTTTTTATTTCCCCTGTGAGAATTCTGCAGTTAGGATTAATATTTTACTTTTTTTTTAAGCCGTCGATATCAGGTAATAAAAACGGCGCCTCGGAAAATTTCCCGAATTCTCGTTAATTCCATCGCCAGTTTCGGATTATCAACTGGATTGTGCGGTAACTGCATTGACACACTGGAGTTTCGAGCAGAATTTGAGGAATTTTTAGCACCTCATATGCATAACTGTAGCTCAAGAGGATATGTAAATTATTTATTATCGACAATATGCGATGAATTAACTGAAATTACGCACCCAATTTCATAATTGATCATTTCAAACTTGATATTTACAATGTATGGTAAATAACTTACTGTTAATACTGTATTATTTATTAGACAATGGTCTATATGTGCAGGGTGTAGAAAAATTCTAATTAAATTTTTCATGAAAAATTCAAAAATTTCTAAAGTTTAACATTCTAAAATTCAAAATTTAGAAAAAAGGTTTTTCTTCCCAAAGGATCGAAATTCTGGGAGTAGCTTAATAGGTTTAATCATCAAAAAGTACTTGATGACTAATTTTTGTAGAAGACGCTTTTATTTTTACAATTCTTACAGTGAACACAAAAACAAACATAGCTACAAAAGCACAGCATATCTAGATCAAATCACAGACTATACTAAGAGAATTACAGCTGATGTCAAATGCTTCTTTTTTTTAAACTGCACTCTGTTGCCAATGTTAATAACAAAAATGTCTATTCTTTTTGTTTATGTTGAGGCAATTTTCAACACAGAGTTTCTTTATCATCTTACCTATGTAGTCACCCACTCACGGATTAAATGAAACTATAATACAAGTACTGGACGAGCTAAATTTGCTAGATATAAATACTGAAGTCTTTTGAAGTCAAAGCTAGGATAACAGCCAACATCTCGTCAATGTAAAGATCTGCAGGTCACAATTAAACAGTACAATAAAACAACATATTATGTGCTTTGCCAGGTCCTCTTGTTACTATATTGTTGCTTATGCTCACTTGTCTGATGTAGTCAGCCCAAGCCCATGAAATTCCTCGTGGCTAGGAGCACAAGATTACGCCTGTCATTGGCAACATTTGGAATTGGCACGATTTGGAACAAAAGGGGAAAAGAGCGTTAATTGACTGGCGTGTAAATGAATGTTTACTCAGTAGCCATTATAAGTGTCCTGTATGTAGGAAGGATGTGTGTCTAGTCGAATGTAAAAACCGTTTAGATGGATTTGAATGGGTTTGTAGGAAGGAAGGTTCAGATGTGGTGACGCCGATATACGGATTCAAGTTCAGATAATTTTAGGAAGTTTTAGGATGCTGCTAAGGAATTTTGTGTGCCACAGACTAAAGATGAAGGAATATCTAAATAGGGTAAGTGGATATTTGCTTTTTGTAGTGCTTAAATGTATAGCATGTTTTTCCTTTCTTATGTTGTTTTATTGTTTGGTTTAAAATATACTTTAATTGAGATTATGTATTTTTTGTTTGCCTGTATTGTAGAATTGGGGGCTCTTTTGACTTTTTAGGTGAAAATATATCGATGCGTATATGGACAAAGTGAAGGGAGTGTGCAATGCAAGTTTGTGCAATTCTTGGATTTTTTTAAAGTGAAAATAGGTCGACGTGTACATGGCTAAATTCAAGGGAATGCACAATTCTATTTTTGTGCAATTCGGGGATTTTTTTTTTAAGTGAAAATAAGTCGATGTGTACATGAATACAGAGTTTGTGCAATTTTGTCTTTGTGTAGTGGCGATTTTTGCGCCTAAAATTGCCATTATGCAAGCCAAAATAATAAGTCAAAGAATTGCACAAACTCGGTATCCATGTACCGCCAAAAATAGCCAAGGGGTACCCTAAAATATACTTGTACTTAAAATTTTACTAAGATTTAACACACAAAGTAGTAGTAACAGACAAAAAAACACAACTGATGAAATTGCTTACAATTTGCTGCATAATGAACTGACTGGTTTCACAAGGAAGCTGTCCAGCTATTTCTTTTGCTGTATATTACTATTCAGACAAGCCAAGACTGTTAACATAGAAAGCCAAAACAAATTTGTGATATTTTAAAGAAACAGTAGACTTGGTACTGCTGCGCAGAAAAAAAAAAAAAAGAAAAAAGGTCTGAGAGCATTTTCAGGTTTAAATTGAGCTGGTGATACAAGAAAACGTGTTTCAGGATATGTAATATTGTACTAAACAACTTCCTTGTCATGTGACCTCATGAAGCAGAATATGCTTGTATTACTGCTCTTTAACATTAGATAAACCTGTTTAATTAGAATGTCTTCTTATACTGAATACTTTAAGCCTTTGTGTTGCAATTTAAATTCAGCTAATCAGGGTGCAATTCACTTAACAAAAAAGCTATGATAATATTTCAAGATCAAAGCATATTGATACATTTCATTATTTGTTACATAAAAGAATAATTAAATTGAATTATATCCTTTATAGAATTCCTAAACTGAATGAAAAGAAAGCAAGATTCATCACAAATTATATTACTTTCAAAAATGATTTTTTAAATTGGCTGATTTATAAGCATAACAAATTTACATATCTGTGCATGCATAAAATTTATGTACTTCAAAATACTGTCCTAATGCAACTTATAATACTTAAAATACTTAAAAATGTAATTAGATGCTTTCAAAGATTTGTCAAACTGCAATTATATGAAAGTTAGTACACAGTGGTAATTTTTTGCTTTTAAGTTTTATAAAATTTTTGAAGGTACTTCATCTCAAGTATTTAAATAACAGTTACCTCAATTTATTACAAACAGAAATGGAATCATAAAATGAGCAATGTCAGTACACACATTTTTGAGGAAATAAAGTAGATCCTCAGCTACACCTATAAACAGGATATTGAGCATTGCATATAAGTAGCTATTGACAGATGTAGAAATGATAAAAATATACTGAGTATGCTGCATTCAGTAATCCTTGCAAGAGAAATTTCAGGAATAGCAAAAATGGCATTAGTAATGCATAGCACTCAGTCAAAGACTATAACAGCATACCTGCCAACCTCTAAAGATAAAAATTCAGAAGATTTCTCCCCCAAATTCAGAAGATTTCTCCAAAATTCAGAAGAACACAAAGAATTAATATCATGCTTTGATATTAAAAAAAATAATAATAAAAATTTACAAATAGAAAAAAGAAAATTGTACTTACATTAGTAAATCTCAATTAAGTAGTAACTAAAAATTTATTAGGAAACATAAAACAGAAAACTTAATGTTACACAAAAAAATTATTGCAATGAATTTAGGAGTGCATTTTTTGGCTTTAGCCAAAAATTCTTTGGAAAATTTCCTGTCATAACAATTAGTTTCCTCATAACATTTAGCAATTAAAATGTTTTCTAGAGTTTTTGGTGAAATTGAAGAACGAAACATAGTTTTGTTTTTTCTTCACAACACTGAAGACTCTCTCACACTCAGCATTACTGTGTGGCACATAAAACTCTTGCTAGTCTATCATATTTTGGTGTTCCATCAGCTCTTTTTATTCTTTTTAAGGTACCAACAAGGACATCAAGTCTATCTTCTCCAGAACTGGCAAAGTCTTCAAACTGTGCAGCAGAAAATGGGTTCTGTAGTTCATCTAAAGCCTCATTATGGCATTCATTTTCTTTAATTGTGAACAAAAATGGAAATTTATCAATAAAAAAACGAATCTTTTGAAAAGATGAATTTTCAATTTGTTTCAAATTTGCCACTTCAGCATTTTAAAAGAACTTCATTTTGCAAAGGAAACTTCCTTACAATGTAATCACAGGCTGAGGAAAAGTACTAACACATTGAAAAAATTATTTTTTCTCATGATCTTTCAAAGAATTTACAAGTTCCCTGGTTTGATTTCCAATTATAAGATCATTGTCATCCTTTTGATTTGCCAAACTATTATAGGCAACACGAATCAACACACTGTTTTTCACAACGGACAGTTTTACAAACTTAGTATGAAGTTCTTTCAGAAGATCATTAAGAATTTGGATAAACAGGGGAGATTTTGGCGAAGCTGATTGTAGAAAGGTATTTACACTTTCAAAAATCTTAATGGTACTTAACACAAAACTACAATATGCTTTGTTCAAATCCGAAGAAAGAAGATAGAAAATCCTTTCCTCCCGGCTAATAGAAGACTGTTTTTTTGAAAAAAATAATCTGGCGCCCACAAAGAAAAGAGTGGGAGAAGAAGTTCAGCGCATTGGATTGGTTGGTTAAGCGGCGAGTTGGGAGAAACCGCAGGTTACTGGATTCGAAAAAGTTGGTAGTTGGCGGTAAAACACGATGCAATTGGCGAAAATCGCTGAATTGTCGAAAAATTCTAAAATTTCGACAAAAATAACTAAAAACACTTGAAAAAGGAAAAAAATCGTAAAAAATGGATTACGATCGTAAAATCGTAAAAACAAACGCATTTTCGTAAAAATTATGAAAAATTCGTAAAAGTTGGCAGGTATGTAACAGTAATAATTTGAAAGAATTTGATAAGTCCCAGTTTGAACATTACAAAACTGAAATAAAGAATATGAATAGATATTTTCAATATCAGGTTTTAATGAAAGTTTCCTGACATCACAAATATAGTCTGTGCAAACAGTTCACACTATCATGTTTAATCATATTTTGTCAAATGATTTTTGGCATTTGAAAAAGAAACTTGCTTTAGAACACTGCATTGTGACACCTGGAGCTACATCTTGCTAGTGCTATCTTCCATTCTGCACATAATGTCTGAAATGAGGTTGACCTGTTTCTAGACTTGCTGCCACCAAGTTTCTGAGCCAAAGGCTTTGAAAAATTATGAAAACTTGGCAGAAATTCACAGATTTGGATGATGATTACTACCTGCACTAGAGGTACTGCTTTCATGCTTTTTCCCCCTAACTTTATTAAGATTGCTTTTGGTGGAAAACTTTCGTTACAACCAAATATTATTAAATAATTAAAGCAATACCACGAAGTTATATTGCAATTCATTCCTACAGAGATAACCAAAGACAAAATGTTAAAATAGCATTGACTGCATGCAACTTTTCACCCCCCCCCCCCGGAAAAAAACCCTATTTAAAGACAAATTTTAAAGGAATGCAATTAAAATTTATAACAGTTGTTTGCAATACAATTATTATTAATATTTACAAATGGAATGCAATTTATTTCACAGTTATAAAATTAACCTTTACTGCAATCATAATCGGAATGAAAACCCATACTAATGTCTGAAAGAATAACCATTTTTTCTTTGCCCTTATAAAAGCTCTTCACATCAGGTATTTTCTTCTGTCCTTCCTTCCTACTAGCTGCTTTTCAAAATCAATAATCTTCACAGATATTTGTTCCAGTACCTTTAATACTGAACTCTAGACTAAGGAACAGTTCTTAGTCTCTAAAAGAATGGTTTGGTTTCTGTAATTTCAAAAAATCATTCTGTACAAGTTTCTGATTAAGAATAATATGTGTTCAGCAGTATGTGATGTCAGAGGCATTTGAATTTTTAATCCATGCGAGTAAATTCAGTAAAATGTACTTTTCATATACTATGAGAAAAGAAAAAAGTAAGCTGAGTCAATCGCAATTAAAATACTCCATTAATTTATGTATATCTTAATTTTATAAACCCTTGTTTTCATTTATTCATTTATTTTACTGAGAAACTGTCTAAGGCTTCGTGGAAGATGTTTCCGATTTCAATTTATAATGTCAATTATAATTTATAGATTCTGTAAATGCAGATTTATAAATAAAAACAATTTCTATGGAGAAAACATTGATGAGTAGAACTACGTAAGAATCGTAATACATAAATGTGATCAATGATAACATCATCAAGAATAAGTCTTTATTAGTTAACTGCAGCAATTTATGTATATTTACATCTTTTAAATACATCAATTTGGACCAAATAGAAACAAAACATAAATGTAAATAGAGCCATAATTTTATGAAAATGAGTAATTGCACGAAATGTTACGTTGAAATGTTATAATCATACAGGAAAAATTCCTGAGATCATTATAAAGCTCATTTTCAACCCTTTCATTAATATATTTTTAATTGAAACTAGCATCTAGTTAAGAGGTGAAATGTAGAGTTTTAGGAATATGTTACAGAACCATTAAAATAACATAAATATCATTACCATCTTCAATTAAGAGATACACAATGTTTTTAGATTGTTATTTAAAATATATTTTGCACATACAATTAAAAAATTATTTCCTGATTTTTTTAATTCATCTAATTCGCTCAAAGCTTCAAATTTCTTCTTAAAGTTCCATAACAAAATATGTAAAAATATTCTGCTAATTTAGATGCAGTAATTAAGTTACAATATAATATTAAATCACTAGAATTACTTCGACCCAAACAATAAATCTCATACACAAACTATTCATTATGTACATGTATCTTATTTCAGAATAACACAATATACATGAGGAAAACTATATTCATTTCTAAATTATATTTAATATACATACAAAACACACAATTATTTTACAATGGCCAAGCAGCTATGGCTAACAATAGTGACCTTCACTAACAATTGATGTCATGCAAATGAAGGAGTACAAAATCACATGCCAAGCTACATATCATACATAAATTAGAGAGCCAAAGCTGTTTGTAACAAGATGTAATGGTATAATTAGCACAGCAGCAGCAACTTCTATATCACCAAATATTTTCATTATCCTACAAAAAATATAAAATATATATAATTACCCTGCCTTTTTAAGTTTAAAATGAGAATATAAAGAGAAAAGCTTTCCTAAATTGTCATTATCATATTTGTAAAACAATTTTTGGTATTTTTTTGGAGTAATTCAATATTACAAATCAAACTTCCACAAAGCATAACTACACGAAGCCAATCCTAACTTTTACTTCCTCATATGAAATAAAGGAAGTATTGTAATCCAGAAAATTTGTAAAATCGAGTAAATTATGTACTTCGTTTCTTTGCAAAGCTACTCATTTAGCTAAAATAAATTTTTTAAAGTATTCCCGGAATTTTGAAAAATGCTGTATATCAGAAAAGCTGTCCACAGGTTTTATTTCCGTAAATTTGATCCTACATATATATCGCAATCAAAATTTACAGAAATAAAACCTGTGGACAGCTTTTCTGAACATCCTATACATATGCATAAAGAGGATTAAATATTTTTACATAACAGAAATTTTTAAACCTTTCAAGATTGCTCACGGCTATTAATATTCAACATGAAAAATATTACAGCTGAAAAATCTCACAAAAGTAATTAAATTTCTTTTCAATAACTTGGCAACATATAAATTTAAAAAATAATAAGTTACCATAATTATTGTGCAAAAACTCTGACAAAAAAGACATTCGACATATACTGTTCTTGAATTCAGCGAAAGAATGTTTCCAAACATTTTATACAATGGACAGCAATAAATAACTAGAGTATTTAAGTAACTATATGCACTGTATTGTTTCATCACAATATATATATTTTAAAATATCCCATTTGAGATCACTGTAGTTTAATGATTTTCTTTAATAAATATTTAATTCTGCATTTCATATGCTTGTTTTTCCATTCTCACAAAAATTTCAGAGACTGAGTATAATTAAAATGCAACTATGTTTACTTGCCTCATCCTCTCTCACACACAGTAACAGATGGAGGACAAAATAATACGAACACTTGTGAAATAATATAAAATCTTTATTAATAGGGGGTTGGATCACCCTTTGACTAAAGTACAGATTGAATGTGACGTAGGATAGATGCATAAAGGTCATGGACAATATTTAAAGGAATATTAAGCCATACCTCCTACAGAGTGGTCTCTAATTCCGAAAGTCCGGATGGAGGTGGAAATCGGGAACGAAGTTTGGACTCCAAATATGCCCATAAATGTTCAATAGTATTAAGTCCAGAAAATGAGGGGGCCAAACGAGATGTTCATTGCGTCGCCATTGCATTCGAATCTAGAAGTGTGGATAGGGGCGCTGTCGTTTTGAACGACAGCGCCCCCGGAGACTGAGGGGGCCAAGCGCTATTCGAACCATTCTTGAATACACTTAGCAGTGTGGATAGGGGTGTTGTCGTCTTGAAAAAGTGGTTGCTCCCCAGGGAATACAGTCTGGACAAAAGGACCCTAGAATGCTTAGATGGTGATTGGATGTGATCTTCCCATGCAGAATAATAAGTGGCCCAAGACTGAGCCAAGCTATCGCACTCCATACCATAATGGAGCCACCCCCGTGCTTCACAGTCGGCAAGAGGCAGTTAGGCTGAAACGCTTCTTTGGGCATTCTCCAGACATAAACGCATCCGATCGTCTGAAACAGGGTGAATGATTATTCATCTGACCACATTACCTTTTGCCACTGCTGTGGGGGGTCAGCCTTTGTGATCACTGCACAAATGGCATCACTTAAAAGCATTATTTGCTGTCATCAAGGGTCTACGAATTGCCACTCTGCCATAAATGTTCACAGCATAAAGTTCCCTTTTGACAGTTTTTGTTGAAACAGAGTCTTGGAGATGACTGTTCATTTAGGATGTTATCTCGGATAACGATTGCTTGTGCTTTCGGGCTACTATGCGCTTCAAGACCCGTCTATCCCTATCAGCTAGCTTTGACTTTCGGACACTGTTGTGCTTTGAAGACGTTGTCTTACCCTCTTTTGTGTACACTGTCAAAATGGCTGATGCCATACTCCTTGCCCACCTATTTTTTGCTATTTCCGTAACCGATGCTCCACTTAAGCGCGATTCAATTATCTTTGGAACTCTGACAGGTCTGACATTTCAGTTTCTCACAGACAGTTCGATCAAAGCATGCAATGCAGGTGACTGCTGTTGAGAGGACATTTCAGTTTCTCACAGACAGTTCGATCAAAGCATGCAACGCAGGTGACTGCTGTTGAGAGACTGATACCTTCCTCTTCACGCTCACTAGGTGGCAGACTTCTGTTGCACGTGCCGCGGCTGTACTGCAGGTGTGAAATAAGTCATACTTTTTCACAGGTGTTTGCATTATTTTATCCTCCATCTGTATGTATATATACATAATTTCATGTTATAAAACCTAGCATTTAGCACATTATCAAGTAAATGCCTTTTTTTATATAATCTATCTCCCATGAAATAAACATTGCAAAAATTCATTAAGCCTTCTCTCTTCAAGGCTTCAGTTTTTTAGAGGGCCAGAATTCCTCATGGCTAACAAATTTTTGGCTATCTTGTCCAGCTAAATGTTTAACAGTTTTATTACTGTGGCTACTGATAAAGGTTATAAAACACAACTACTACTGTGCAAAACTTCAGCAACAAATTCATTTTTCAATATACAACCATAAATTTGTTGAAAAGGGCTTTTTGCAATCAGTACAATGAAAAGTCAACTCAAAAGAAAAGTGATGCATGTGTAAATATCACCCTCATAATGTCAGAGGATATGTAAGGACACAGTATGTATGTGTCAGAGGAGAGGCACACAAAGCATGAAGAGTCAGCACAAGCAGTTCCAGGCAACTTAAAATGGACAAAAGGAAGGTGCATTTCCAGGCATTATTCTGTGAGTGAAAGTGAGACTGTAAGTGCAATACGGATACATGAAAACATCAGGATGCTTTTACACCTTTTAAAATGAGTGGCATGCTTGGTGGGGCACAGTTTGATGTCTGTTACCCAAGAGTTTGAAATTGGTCATGTGTTTTTCATGAGTTTGGAAAGCCTTCCAAATGACAGATACAGTGAAAAGTTGGTGGTAGTCAGACAATTAAAACAGTGGTGTCTGATGATTGATATATTGCTTTGCAAGAAAAACCAGACAGCTCGGCAGCTGTGCACAGAAACGAACAGCAGGTGTCCTAGATTACTGTGGCCAGACAATTTCATAAAATTGGCTTACTCCCCCACTAATCTGAATGCTGCACATCATTGACAGCAGCCTATCAGCAACAATGTTTATAGTGCCGTACAGAACATAAAGACTGAACAGTTCATTAGTAGAGTCATGTCCTCTTTACCGATAACAGTAACAGTCACTGAAGTGACTATTACTGTTATTGGTAAAGAGTTGTTGCTCTTTACCGATAACAGTTTACCGATAACAGTTACCGATAACAGACTGTTCTTTACCCATAGTTGACTGTTCTTTACCGATAACAGTAACAGTCACTGAGTGACTGTTACTGTTATCGGTAAAGAACGATAACAGTTGCAAAGGATTCTCGGTGCCAGTTCATACAGAGAAAGGTGGGGCATGCCTTCATTCCATTAACATCGGGATATAAGATCGTGGGTAGAGTAGACTTTAAGGTACCCCTTGTATTATCAAGTTTTGTTTCATTTATGGTAGCCTGAGTAGTTCAGTGTTATGGAAACCCTATTGTGACATAATCGGGTGCATGATTCTGGGAAATTTTGAATCATGGGATGTGTTGTAAGCGCTTTTGTGGTGTGTGTTGGTTTGATTCTTTAGACGGTAGAATGGCCAAGTGTAGTAAGATTAATTTGAAGTTTCTGTACGATTTGGAGCGAAAGGGGGAAAAGAGCTTTAATTGACTGGTGTGTATATGAAGGTTTACTTAGTAGCCATTATAAGTGTCCTAGGAAGGATATGCGTATAGTCGAACGTAAAAACTGTTTAGATGGATTTGAATGGTTTTGTAGAAAGAAAGGTTCAGATGGTCACTGTGTGAAGCGTTCGATCAGAAAGAGTACCTGGTTTGAAAAAAGTCATTTGAGTATGATTAATATTTTGATTTTTATGTGGATCTGGGTGTACGAAGTGAATTCAAAAATCATGGAAGTTAACATTTGCTTTTGGTAGTGCTTAAATGTATAACATGTTTTTCCTTTTTACGTTATTTTATTGTTTGGTTTAAAATGTATTTTATTATGTATTTTTGTTTGCCTATATTGTAGAATTTGGTCCTCCTTTGGCTTTGTAAGTGAAAATATATCAATGTGTACACGGACAAAGTAAAAGGAGTGCCCAATGCAAGTTTGTGCAATTCTAAGATTTTTTTTTTTTTTTTTTTTTTTTTTTTTTTTTTTTGTAAGTGAAAATAGGTTGACGTGTACATGGATAAAGTTAAAAGAGTGCGCAATGCCATTTTTGTGCAATTCTGGGATTTTTTTTTAAGTGAAAATAAGTCGATGTGTACATGGATACCAAGTTTATGCAATTGTTTGTCTTTATATTTTGGCTTTGTGTAGCGGCGATTTTTGCTTCGCAAGCCAAAACAACGAGTCAAAGAATTGCACAAAATCGGTATCTATGTACCGCCAAAAATCACCAAGTTTTGCCAAGGTGTACCCTAAACTATACTTTTACCAAGATTGTTACAGCAGCCTTCAAGTGTTTTTATGAAGAGGCACTGTGATGAATGGACGGACTATAGGTTCACATTTTCGATAGAGGTACACTCTATGGGAAACGGAGGAATGAATGAAGATATCCTTTCGTAAGAGCATCTTTTCCAATCTGTCATTGGTTCTGACTTTAATTTTTGGATGACAATGCACAACCACACAGAACTCATGCTGTTCAAGAGCTCCTGGAAGCAAAAATATTTACAAAACAGATTGGCCAGTGTGCTATCCTGATTTAAATCCCACTGAACAATGGGTGAGATACTTCAGGGATATGCCTGGTGGCATGATCTTACTATCTAGAGAATATCAGACAATTGAAATAAATGCTCCTTGAAGAATGGGAACTTTTAACCCAAGAACTGTTAGATAATATGGTGTTGAGTATTGACAGATGGTGCATAATACAACAATTGCAGGGTCATATCATTTTCTAAGACCCTTTGGTTTATTGTTCTTCCTCTTGACCATACAGTTTTTTGTACCAATGCAATTCTGTCAATAAATATTTATTCCATATTGTACAAGTACAATTTATTTTTTTACTACTAATCTTTCTCCACTATTAAAAACTACATTGTGCTTCTCCAGCATGAATTTCATCTCCCCTAGTTGATTTTTTGCAGAATTAACGCAAAAATCAGAAAAGCTGCTTAAGTTTTGCACACTAGTATAGATAAAACATTTTAGCTGCAAATAGGCATGGGGGGGGAGGGAATGTAGTGTGAACTGGTAAGCAGATTATTTTTGATAAATATGCAAATAAACCTTAAATTCTTAAAATTATTCTTCAACTTATTCAATATTCTTAATTTTATTCTTCAACTAACATAAAATGAAAGTATTTAAACAATAACTTAATACAATAAATATCTTATCAACTAAGATTCAAATATCTTCCAATTATAGAAATTCCCCTCTGGGAAAGCAAAATAAAATTTTAGCTAAATTTCCTGCTTTCAGCAAATTACTTTCACACACTACAAAAATCATATTTATGATCACAATATGCAGTAAAACACAGTTACTCAACCTACGTGATTAGTAACGTAAACCAGAAGCAGCCGAATTAAAAGTTTGTTGAGCTGCTTGAGTAGCAGCAGTAGCAGCAGCATTCTGGACATGTGGATTACGCATTACACCAGATGCAAGTTCTTCTTGGGCTTTTGCAAAACTGGCAGTGGTTCCTCTGTACATTCGGTGTATCTAAAACACATTTTAACATTTTTATTTCATCAATTTAAGAATATAGTTCAATTTAACTTACCAATTAAGTAATACTTCCTCAACAAAAATAAATAATTAAATAAAACATTTATAATGAATTTTAGTTGGATTGTATTTTCAAGTAAGATGCACATTAGGTAAGATATGCTTATGCTTTTCCAGATAAAGAAAGTAGAAGTTCCTTCATTAAGTCCACCACAAAATTTCACAGTTTTCTGATCACTGGTTTTGCTTGTAGGCAGTTTTAAAATACTGTTCTTTAATTATAGACCCCCTGTACATACACTGAGACAAGAACTTGCTGAACTTTAATGAATTTACTTGTTAGATTTATAAAATCATTAGCAATTTCTGAAGAACATGTAGTTGTTACTCTGGCATCTATTCTTCTTCAAAAGTGTAATAATCAAACGAAAATGGCAACTTAATGATGCAAAACACAACTGAAAGTTTTAGCCTCGAGCTAACATTGCACTGTTGAGGGAAAATGAAAGGGAATTTACGGAACCCCACAGTTGTGAGGCACGACGGTCATCGGACAAGTGGTAGGGGGAGGTTATCGCACAATGACTTTCTTCACACCCTAAATGGTGGGGGGAGGAAGAATGTCTCTGGCCGAAATTTTGGCCACAGCCGTCTTTTTGAGACTCACCAGCTCTGCCCTTTTTTTTGGGAGGGGGTCACCTGTCTTCTAAGCATTAATGTGATGTGGAACTTGCCCCCATCAATAATTTATCAAATTATTACAAGCAAGGAGCAAATTACTAAAAGCAAGCATTGTGATGTGGAACTTGCCCCCATCAATAATTTATCAAATTACTAAAAGCAAGGTGCAAATTACTAAAAGCAAGCATTGTGATGTGGAACTTGCCCCCATCAATAATTTATCAAATTACTAAAAGCAAGGTGCAAATTACTAAAAGCAAGCATTGTGATGTGGAACTTGCCCCCATCAATAATTTATCAAATTACTAAAAGCAAGGTGCAAATTACTAAAGCAAAATTGAACGTGAAACTTGCCCCATCATAATTTATCAAATTACTAAAAGCAAGGTGCAAATTACTAAAAGCAAGCATTGTGACGTGGAACTTGCCCCCATCAATAATTTATCAAATTACTAAAAGCAAGGTGCAAATTACTAAAAGCAAGCATTGTGATATGTCTATATAAGATATGGAGGATAACATTCCTGATTAATGCCCTAAGTCTACCTTTGCTTTTAACACTTTTACTTTCTTAAAATTTCATTTTCATGTACTTTTATTTTCCTTTTCATAACAAAGATTGGTGTCACATACCTTTGTACTTCATTTTAAAGTTTTAGCTAAGCATTCTGATACTGTGGATGATACTGTATAGTTACCTAAAAAAATTCACTCAATTATATACAACAATTTCTGTGAAATTGGTACTTTTGTGCACCTAAAGATAAATGTTGATACCAGTGATTAAATTTATACACAGTATTTAAAATTTCAGACACTGGATGTAATAAGTACCAAAATTCTCAAGACTGCTGAAACATATCTGTCTTCAAAATACCCTTCAGCAACATACATTTCAACCAGTACTTCATACAGTAACTTTGTACTTTCTACTGTAGCAGAACTTTGTACTTTTAAAGCATTTTTTAAATTTTTCCTTTGAGTTTCCTTAGCTTAATCAACACTGCACATTTCAAATTTTCAGCAAACTGACTATCCTTAAGTCCAAATACCAGCTTAGGAAGTAAAAGATTCTTGATATAAGATAAGTGTATGTGAGAACAGGAGTTCTATTGAGGGGAGTGGGGGATTTTCACAAAGACATTCATGCTCTGGTTTCTTGCTTATACATTCCACACACACGCAGCAAAATTGCATCATTACATGTTTTTGATCAGCCAGTTATCTGTTTTAATTTTTCTTTACAACTACCAGAAAATGTGAAACATATTTGAAAACTTTTTAGAAATTTTTATTACGTGAACCTGTTTTAAAATTTAACATAGTAGATGTTTTCTCTATTTACACACAGAACTGAATTTCTTAAATGCTGCTAATTGTCATTCTTCATACACTGCCAGAAAAAACAACACCAGATTTAGAATACCAAAATCAAATACAAAAAGTACACGACTTGATAAAACTCTTAGTGAAGAAAAAAATGATTATGCTGAAATTCAGTTATGAAATCACAAACAGTCTGGGGCACCAAGTCCATTCTCCTATATACACAGTCCCTGAACTTTTAAATCCAACCAAGTTTACACAAATATTCCCTTTTTACCATACAAAAGGAGAACTACAAATGTTGTGAAAAATAAGATAAAAGGGTAAAAACTTACCTTTACAAGCATATAAAATGAGACCATAGCATCAATAGCCCATAAGAATCCAATGAAAATGACAATAATTCCAACTGTATAGACACTAACAGTATGTTCACCACCTTGGCTTAGTATAGTAATTCCATTCAACAAACCACTAGATAGATGAATTACTGTTACATGTTTACATTTTAAAATCTCAACAAATGCATTTAATATTTCACAAAACAAATACATATGTTTTGGTAAATAATGAAAAGAATTATTTAAATACACATAAATGGTCTTCTTCAAAATACCAGACATTAAAAAATTAGAAAAATAATTTTTAGGTTGACTTATAAATTAATTTTATGCATATATTAAATTAAAATTTTCTACAAATAAAACAATAACTTTCAATGAGATTAATTAAAAATTCAGGTTTAAAAAGTAGCACCATTTTAATATCCATTATACTCAAAGTAAAATATTTTAGTAAAAAATTCCATTTTATCAGACATTATGTTTTGGAAAAACGTAGATATTTGGATTATATGTTTAACAAAACAGTTTTGCTAAAACGAACTTTAAATATTACTGTTCGCTAATCACAAGATTTGTACACATAATTAATTACTGTTAACTCTGTCAAAAAAAAATGACCCTCAAATAACAGGCCTGTGAATTTTACGAAAAAAACTGGCACACAGCTGATTATTTTGTATCAACTATTTGGGGAAAAACAGTTATCAAATTGGAACTTTATGGAATTAACTTTAACATATCTACAATAACTTTTTTGCTTCTGCTAAAATGTATTTTAAAAGATTAAATTACCTTGTTCAAATTTCAGAATATATTCAAACATTGCAACAATGAAAGTAAATGCATTTTAAACTATGATTTAAAAAGTAAAAGCATTTACTTTACAGTTATTTTTCTAAAAAGCATAATTTCAATGATACTGTAATAATATTTGCTTTAATTTGCTAAATTTTCATTGACATTTTCAAATCATGGCACCAAAGTTTTTGTACACAAATTGGTCCTAAAATCACCAAAATGTTCATAAACTCACTAAATTTAGTCACTAATAAGTCACATACAACTTATAAAACTCAAAAAAAAGGCAGAACTTATTTTTTATGTAATAATGATGACAAAGTCAAACTGTAACTTGAATGTCAGCCATAGCAGTTTGTTACCAAATGTGTAGGTTAGGCAACATGAGCTTAACCTACACATTTGCTTAAGGGCTACAACTGCTTAAGGGCACAATTTCTGGCATTTTCAAAAAAAGGGGGGGGCAAAATCACAAATCATAAAAATTACAAAGCATTCATAAAAGCTAGCAGATATAATATATACATGTGTGTGTGTGGTCATCCACCCTCTTCCACAAGCTAACTTGCAACCGCATCAGCAGCTAGATACTTCTACAAGCTGAGTGAGGAAATTGAGATGACACAGTCAATGGTGTGGCTCAAGGGAGCATCGATGATACGAAGCCGAAGGACTGATTGTTTCTTTGATGACAAGACGTTATTCTGTTTTTATGATGGACTGAACGTTTCATCTCATTTTCATCTTACTTCCTTTAATTCTGTACATATTGTTGCATTTTTTTATTTTTATGACACCATTTGTTACGTTATTTTCTTCCTTCACGTTCGGACAGGGTTCGCTGCTCTGCTTAGTCATTCTCAGAACTCCACATACTCTCGAGACTCTCCACGCTCCAACTCGCGATGCACTCGACGACACTCAGAGCACAGCTCCTGACTCTTCAGTTCAGTCGTTCCTGGAGCTCAACACGCTCTCTCGATGATGCACTAACCGCGATACACTAACAGACTCCTTCGGTGAACTCGACGACCCACTTGCTGCCCGGCTGTCAACTCGATCGACTCCTCAGGGATTGACTCGCTAGACGAGACACCAGCTCGATACTGACTAACTCGCACTCCAGACAAGGCACACACACTCTCGATGAGAGACTGCGGACCAGGTCGCCAAATGAGTGATTTCTCGCCAAATGTGGCAACCCTGCCTACTCTTGCCCATTTTATGGCAACCCTGAAACTGCTTTGCAGAGAAGTCATCTTACAGTGCCTGTACATTTTGTAACAATATCATCCTCATTTTTATTATTTCATTATTAAAAAGCTGTAAAATGCCACTACCTTCTTCATTATTAAGCCTAACCCCTTCTTACATGGGGCTTGGCCCCTTGAACTCTTTTCAATTTCTTTAAACTCTGTGACATTCTTTACTAAATTCCTCTAGATGCCTGTCATTTCGAATAAACAAACATTTTGATGTTTCTCATCAAATGCCGTGAAGGCTTGCCATTGCTGTAATGCATAAAACCTGTAAGTACACTGTTTGAATTATTTCAGCAAAACAGTGTTCTTATCTGCTTTTTGATAAAATAATACTGATGATGAAGCAAAGAATAAACGAAGTAATGCTCTTTAAGCAAATGCTATTCTTTGATGATGTCTCTATGCATATTTGATGAACTTTCATTGCATAAACTAAAGGCATTTGATTTTGATGAAAATTAACTGAAGAGTATTGATGAAGCTTAATACTTTTACTACATGGATTTTAGCAGGTAAAATAGTGTTTTGAAATTGAATGTAGTCCTGAAAGAATCCAGTGCTTTGAACTGTGTCTCGGCCAATTCCTAAAAATTTAATTCTGGAAGGATGGAATGGTGGAGAATCAGTCTTGCAGTATGTGTGCTCATTAATAATTTAATAATTGTGTGCTTGTGATCGAGTGTCATAAAGAGCAATTAATGGGGTTCCTTTAAGTTGAATGTCAACGTGCATAGGATGTTTAGACAAAGTTTGACGAGAAATTGCATTTACAGTACTATCACATATAGAACATTGAGGAGCAGATTCCATGGTAGAACTACCAGAACGTTTGGGACAGTTGGTATGAACATAACCATAATTTTTGTAGCCATAGCAAAATTTACCATTAGATTTCTTTGGACAATTGGCACTGTTATGTCCTTTTAAAACCACAGGAATAACATACTGGTTGCATATTTGAGGTGTGTTTATTATCAATTTTAACATTCGGGAAGGAATTAGGAAATTTCTTTTGAGTATTTTGCTTCAAATGTTTTGAATTTTTAAAGAGTTTTTCTTTAAATTCAAGAATGAATTTATAACTGTACAGAATTCTTTTGTTGTTTGAAGAATCAGGAGTACAGTTTATAACATACTTGATCAAAGAAGAATCATCCATAGAACCTTTATGCGTGAGATCTTTCATAGCTAAAAAATATTCTCGTAAGGTTTCAAATGATTTCATACGACGAGATTCCATTATTTGATGTAATTGAAGGGCTATTGATCTTATCTGAAAATACATCTAATAAATTGTGGTTTAATTGTTGCTAGTTAGTAATTTCATGAATTGGTTTTATTAAAGTCAAAGTTGGACCTGTAAGACATTTTTTAACAAAAATTACTTGGTGAACAGGATGCGTTATCTGATAGAGATTAAAAATGTCTTCTATATCGGAAATAAAAATTTCAATGGTGTAATTATCTCGAGAGGAAAAGGTTTTAATCAAATCAGCAATGTCTTTCACACCAAAACATTGAAAGGAAACATTCTGAGCTTGTGCGTTAGTTGGAAGCTATAAATTTCCAGGTGCGCTATTGAGACAGATATTCGCCTTCATTTGTTTACATAAAGATTCATCTGGAGTGTGATTAACCATTTGAGTCCAGCAAAGCGCTATTGCGCTTCACTTGTCGTATGCCAAAAATACGGCGCAGCACGACAGCGCTTCTCTTGTTTTGTATCGAGAATTCGAAGATGCTGCTGTTGGTTAGTATGCTTTACACAATTATTGAGAGCAGTTGTAGTGACATCAGTAGCAGTTGTTTTATAGGAATTGGAAATTGTTTTCATTTTTTTTACCAAGTGTTATACTGATAATTACGAAATAACCCATGTCAAGTTCTGATTCATTTGAAAGTGACTATGCTATAAGAAGTGATAATGAAGAGTACAGTAATGACTTGAAAGTGATAGTGGAAGTGACATCATCATTCGTTCTAAGAGATTACGAGTTATTAGTGATAGCAGTGATGATGATGAAGTAACTGCAAGTACCTCCGATGACGATATTATTGATGAGTTTTTACCCGTGGATACAATTTTTTCGAATGAATCGAATACTTTTTCTGAAGTACCTGGACCAAAGCATGATGTGATTATTGGAATTGACTTTCTATGGCAAACTCAGTTTACATTTGATAAAGATTGTACTCATTTATGCAATAGTAATGATGATCAAATTTTTGTTAATGTTGCTGTTACTGATGGTCAACATTTTCCATTTGATCTTTCACACATCTCGAACTCCGACATTCATGAGAAGTTCAACATATCGTTACTCCTCACAAATCACACAAAGTTAACTTTGCTATGACAGATTTTCAAGGAATAAAAGAAAATGAAAATCAGTTGAAGAAAAAAAAAAAGTTAAGGAAAATGACAATGATGCCATGACAATTTGGAATTGGATGATGATAATTTGGATTTGGATGATCATGATGACAAAGATGATGATGATGACAGTCACAAAGCTAATGATGATGTCAATGATGAACACAGCATGCAGAATAATGAAGAAACTGTGAAAAATCAACTGAATCAGTTTGAACAAGGATGTGCTGAACAAGCAAAAGAGAAGACACCCGCTAAATACGCAGATACTCAAGAACACAAAACAGAAAAAACTCCAATGACAGAAAAGTCTCTGAAAACTGAAAAAATTTCCTTTTTCACAGAAGACTCTTGATGATGAAGCAACAGATACTAGACCCCTCTGTCTGTAAATTTTGCCTACTGATATCACTACAAAAGAAATCAAAGCTTTCTCTTCAGATATTTTAGATGTTGCTAAGCCGAAAACAGATGCAAACAAACAGGAAGAAAGGTGATATAATCCAAGGAAACTATTTGTCTCTGACATCTCTGCTGACACTACGATTACTCAAATTGCCAAACTTTTTTCCAAAAGCATCTTGGATAACTCTGAATTTATCACATGTACACCCAAATGCTACCGGAAGTTACATACAGGAAAAAGATGGAGTTGAAGCTGTTGACGTAACAAAGAATGCTGAAATATCTGGGAAA